GATTGTGTTAACTTTTAGCTTCTTACTGTTTGAGTTTGTATGTGGTCAATTTTTCAGTTTTGGTCATTACTGTGCATAGTTATTAGTCTATCACCTCTTATGTGACTTAAACTTAGTCGGCCAAGAACATATACAGCTTCTTTCAACCTTTCTAATATTTTTACACCATTGTGCATTTATATATGTTTCCAAACTGATGTGTAGATTCAATCAATTGTCTTCTTTACCTGAATTTTTAGGGAATGTGAATGTGGAAGAGCTGAGATACAGAAAGAACTTGATATACAATTCAAACGGTGAAAGTTTTGGATTTAATATTTGGAGAGAGAGGAAAAGAGCAAAGGTTGACTCAGAGAAACAGATGGCTGGGTTGTATGGAAATACTCTTACGTTGTGTTGCATCTCATGCAGTCAAAATCCATGATCCAAGATTTAATTGGTTTGCTTCTTTTTCTGTTTTTCTTAAATAATAATGGTACTACTTATTACAAAATTTTGCAACTACATTTTAATTTCGTTAAACAAACATAGATTTTTTTATTCAAAAAATTAGCTTCTTAAAGTCTTATTATATTTTTTTTGTTAAAAGATCTAATTGTTCTTATGACAATTGAATGGTTTACGTATACTAAAGAAAGTAAGCGACTGCAAAATAGCAAATAAATATTTACTAATAAGAGGTTTACGACATGCATGTGCAACAACCTTAATCCACAAAGAGCCAGCTACCAATTTTTGTACATATGTTCAATTATTGTGAAGTTTGTTTCTAACATTCAAATATAGGTTTATCATCACAACAAAAGTTTCCAAAACCAAACCTTAAACACAAACAACACAAACAACAAAAGCATACAGAAATATAAGCACCTATATCACAAGTTAACCATATTCCGAAATATAATTATCTATATCACAAGTTAACCATATTCCGCGCGTAGCGCGGACCGACCCTAGTGCTATATATAATAAAGTTTAGTGTCATTAGTATTTTTTAAAATACCTAAGAATTAACAAGTTTTTCCAATAAATGCTATTTATAGTTAAGTTTAGCCTCTTTAATATTGTTTAAAAATATATAAATTATACTTTTCCAAAGAATTAATAGTTTCTGAAGAAATATGTTTTGGTAATTATAATGATTCATCAACAAATTCTATAATTATCAATAATTACAATAGTTCATCCTTACATATTGCAATGGTTCATCATCAGAAATTGAAATGGTTGATATGTAAAATAACTAAAATACAATTCATTAAAAATATTCACAAGTTTTAGAATGAAAAGATACACCTTGGACACTTTAACAATCTCTTCAAAATTTATGTGATTTTTATAATGAAAAAACACTCTGTAAATATTTTTATAATTTCTTATAAAATATTGCATTTTAGGATGAAAAGACATATCGTTAGAAATATATATATTGAAATATTTTGATAATTTATATTAAACTAATTCAATTCTTAGGGATACAAAGACACTTCATATATTAAATTCCCCAAGAATTATGAATTTTCTCCATATTAATATTGATATTTTATTAATAGCATTTAACTACATGGATTCTTAAAAATATATGGAACACTTAACCATATAATTAATTATTAATTAATTAATTTAATTATTTCATAAACCATAATTGTTCATCAAATCATTAATAAATTAATGATTATTCTTTTGTTTGTCACCTTTGAACAATTTAAATGGTATCTTTTCATAAAGAAAATATATCTAGTAACTTTTCACATACTGAACTATGACTTTCACCAACAAAATTATAACTTTCACAAATTTTTGTAGAATAATTAAACCGCATGCATGCAAAATATTTTACATTCCTCATAATGTTAACATGTATGCACATGTAAACAAAAACAAATTCCATAGAGCACATTCATGTATTTCTTGTAAAACATTTTTTATGAACTTTATTTGAAGGCAAAGCAATCGTTCATACATTACTACCAGCAAAATTGTAGAACAAAAGAAAAAAAAATTCAAGCACTTATACAACCATTGCACTTGTTCGTTTGTGTGAAAGTTTACAGAAACTTAAACTAACAACAACAACAAAAAATTCCAGATACTTAAATGTCGGAATGAAAAATTTCCAGATGTCGTGCTTATATACATGGTTATGAATGTACACTTAAACAAATTTATTATGTTTAAGCAACATAATTATTTACTTTCTAATCCAACATCATAATTCCTAAATACATGCAAATCATAAAACGTTAATTATGCCGACCTTAAACTTGTATCATGAACAGTCATTATAACGGATGTAACCTAAGTGTCGCTATCAAATTTTATTATATAATCTAATTGTATGAAATTATAGGACACAATTTATGTATTCGTAAAATAAAAATAATCAGAAATATAATTTTGTTAGAAATAACTTTTATTCTTAACTATCTTTTTAGATTAATGAAATTTTTACTTGAAAAAAACTTATGGACATATACTATTTATATATTTTCAAAGTTCTATATGAATAATTACAGCTTTTCAAGTCAAAGTTAGTTATTTTAATGAATAGTCATAACTTTCAAATTATTGGTAGTGAATAGTCACAATCTTTCAAGTTAAAATTAATTATTTTTATGAATAGTCACAACTTTCAAATTAAAGATAGTGTGAATAGTCACAACTATCTAATTATAAGTTATTATTTTAAATGACACATTTACATTATATCTTTGAATAGACGCATCATTTCAAAAAAACATATTTATTATATAAATATTAACTATTTTTAAAAGTAACTAAAATTTAAACAGATGCATTGTTTTAAAAAACAGTTTCTTTACAGAAAGATATGTTAGACATAATCTTTCACTTAGATGAAATTCATAACCTTTGACATTAATTGAGATTACTATTATTTATAGATATATATATATATATATTTTATGCTACCCATTTTATTTACCATTTTTAGGATATATATATATATATATATATATATTAATTTTCACAATAGTTTTTAACAATATTGTTATATATGATGCGTTCTCATTTTTGGTTGTTGACTTGTGATTTCCAGGAATCAGTAGTTTCAGCAGGTGAAATTTCAGGAGACATCTTTGTGTTCTGAAGACTAAATGGTTTCATCCTGTATTTCACCAATGTATACTATCTTTGATCAAAAAAAAAATACAATCTTTGTTAAATAAATAATCTTTAGAAGAAAAAAACATCAGTGACAAAAAAAGGAGGAAAAAAACATATGGTTCGTTCTCATCTAATATTATATAACAATATCATATCTTGAGACTTCAGTGTAAGTTCAGTTGAGACATAAACATCGTATAATTACGTTATGTATATTTTAATCGCATGCCCTCGCTTGCCTCAACGTCTGTTCCGGAACATGGCTTTGTTATAGATCATCCTTAAATTTTTTGTCCATAATTTATACTTAAAAGGAACAATCTGCAAAATAAAATCAGAAGTTGGTTTGCAAAGTTACATCTCAAATCATGGAGTAACGCATTGGTTCATATTATTCAATTGGCTTTATAATTGTTCATAGTCCTACATAAACTAACGTTTACTCAAAAAAAGAACGTTTACTCAATAGTTTTTTCGCACATATTTTCTGGTAAGCATGAAAATCTACTTTGTTGGAAATTTGAGTCAACACGGCTCTCTTCACCTTACCTTTTAAAGATATTCAAACGCTCCATTGTAAATGCAAGTCGTCTATTTTTGGAGATTGCTCAAATATAAACTTATAAGCTAAGCAAAATAATCATTCTGCATCATATAATACACTTGATGCATGTCATTTTCTTTTCGCAATGAAGGTCTTCTTTGTATATAACGCTTGGTGCGTACATGTAACAAACATCCATCCTGAATCGAATAAACTCATCCAAGTCATCTTACGTGAAACAATCAACATATTATAATAGATAATAAGTCTAGACTCAAATTTCTAAATGTTTTGAGACTCATGATATATACGACAATATAAAAAGGGAGTCAGAGATCTTATATATTAAAACAGAAGTCATGACTTGATCTCATGTGTGATTTTTTAAAAAATGGACTGTTACTAGAAAGTTATGTTACATTAACTCTCTAATAATATTATCATTATTATATCTTATAATATGCTTAACAATTTTGTTTTGGTAAATTAACCCATACCTTCCAACTTAGTCACGCAAAATATGTCAATAGATATAAATTTAGGAATCTTCTATTATTTATAAGGAAATATGTCAATAATAGTTAAATGCATCCAGAATATATTAACAAAAATCACAAATTATTAATATGTAATATTTATATACCTTAACAAAATTTACACGTTATATATATTAGATAAATTTATTTCGATGTAAAATTTTAAAATTGTATTGTTTAAAAAAAATAAATTGTTTAAAAAGTTCATTTTTAGTAAACTTTTTATAATATTAATTTATGAAGCTATAAGTTTAGTTTTTAGCAAAAATTTCTTCGAAGTTTATATTATCTTTGCAAATTAAATTACACTAATATTTAATCAAGCTCTATTTATATTACTTTATCTAAAAATGAAATATTAATCTAACAAACAATAAAATATAGAAGAAGAAACAAACACATGTTTNTAATATAGAAAATTTGAAACAATCTATTTGATTAAAACACTTATTATATAATATTATTATGTTTGAAAAACATTTACTATACATATCGTAAATATGTGATTACTATAATATATACCAATTTACAAGTGAAAACAAAATTTTTATATAACTATAAACGAAAACAAACACCCGCGCGGTTGCGCGGGTCAAAATCTAGTTTAAAAAGAAAACAAGAAACAATGAGATGTCAATAGAAGAAGAGATGATACAGACAATGAAACATTTAAATGAAAATACAATAAAAAGGAGAACAACAATATTCATAGAGAGATGAGGTGCATGGAGAGAGGTTTCTTATAGCTATGATACCTCAAAAATGAAAACTAAAATAAACACATACAATATTACTCAAAGGGATAGAGATAAATCAGTTCCCCAGCTTTTAGATATCCCTTCTTCTGTCTGATCATCATCATCATCATCATCAATCTGGACAATCTTGTCATTCCCTACCTTTGAGATGAGATTCTCCTCACTCAATACATTCTTTTGTGAATAGTAAACGCTAGAGACATTGGTGGCTCGAAGAGGAGGTGTAAAAGGTGGAAGGTTTCTAGGGATCATCGGTGGATTATTGTTGTTGTAAGAGGGTCTTGATGCAAGCCCCATTGAAGAAGAACCGTTGGTACAAGTGGTACCATTGAAGAAGCGAGTAGGAGTAGTAATGCGAGGAACTATGGCCACGTTGTTTAGTCCACTACCGAACGATGGGTACATGCCGCTTCTTGGGCGTTTAATAGGTTCAAGGGTGAACCCAAGATGATTATCATTTGATAAAGCATCTCGTGAATATCCACTTAATATCAAGTGAGGCTTCTCTAGCAAAGTGTAAGAAAACGTGAGTCCTGGAAAGTCTGCTTCCATCTCCTTCTGCTTCTTGCTCCAGTCCCGCTCCTGTTTGTGTGCGTTCTGGTGACCACCTAAGGCTTGAGAGGTTGGGAACCCTTTCTTGCAAAAGGGACAAGTGTAGATCTTATTTGATTTTGTTGGGTATAACTTCATGATCTCACCTCCTGTTCCGACAGGACCGGATCTGAAACTAGGGCTCGACATAGCCTCCTGAGGAGACCCTAGTCTCAGATTGTTCCTCTCCGCTGGTATCTCCTCCATGGCCTCGATCGGTGTGGGAGAGGTCGAAGAAGACACAACTTGGTTCTCCATAACAAAATCTTTTTCTTTAATTTTTCTAGGATTCAGAAATGGTTTTTATCCTTTTTTTTTTATTTGTAATAGATTCGGAGAAGAGAGGACGCTATTTATGGAGAAGATAGTCTTAGTGTTTATCAGCTATTATGGTATAAAATCTTCAAGGTTAAAAATGAATTAAAATCAGAAGTACTTTGAATTCATATTCTACTTTCTTTGACTTACAAAATGATATTTTTGTATTAAACTGTGATTCCATATTTTCGAAAATTTATGATCATTTTTTTTTCCTTTTGTCTTCCAACAAGACATTTTATGTGAAATATGTACGAACCAATAGGTTTTATATATACCGTTGAAAGTTAAGAATTGTTTTTCTAACCATCTTGAACTAAATTTATCTTCCAAAGTGATATTTATTTACTCATTCGAATATGTTGTATTTCGTGTATATAGCAGTGTGAAATATATATATAAATATACTGTGATTCAATATTAATTTTAAATCTAATATGTTGAAAACAACGTTTTTCAATTATCTTGATTTCACTCTTTTGCATTTATGCATAATTACGTAATATAGTAATACTATCCATTTTCGAAAGTTTCTTTGACAAAATATTAATTAAGAAACTAACTAGTCAAAGTAAGATCTTTCACCATATGGAAGGACAATGTTATTCTTCACTAAATTCGTAGAAAATATTTAATCACTTCAAATACAAGGAAACTGCAATGGAATATATGGAAAAGCAACGTGGAAGATGGTCATACACACTGTACTTAGACAGCCCGGTGTTAATTACCTGCTTGACTACAGTTAGTTCTTTGCAATGAGATAATATTAGTAAAAAAGATTGTGGGATTTCTATAACTAGTTTCTTGGTCCTAATCAACTTTTAATTTTCTATGTTAAAGGAGAAAAAATGACAATTATGGTGCATGAACTACAGAGAATAACAGCTTTATATTCTTAATATAACATTTCCCAATATATATGTCCAAAAATAAAAATTTGAATACGTTTAGTGTCATCTTTTTCTTAAACTAGAGTGCAGAAAAATTGGTAAAATATATCCAAGATACATTCATAAATACTAATTTATCACTACACAATGTGGGTTTGTTTCTATCCTTTTTTCACAAATAAATATCAGCATTATGATTTATGACAGAATTCTTCTTTGGGATAACACCAACATTGTAGTTTTCCCTTTTCCAAATTATAAGTCTGTAAATAATAAAGATGAACAGACTAGAAATATAGAAATATGTATAAATTGANTTATCACTACACAATGTGGGTTTGTTTCTATCCTTTTTTCACAAATAAATATCAGCATTATGATTTATGACAGAATTCTTCTTTGGGATAACACCAACATTGTAGTTTTCCCTTTTCCAAATTATAAGTCTGTAAATAATAAAGATGAACAGACTAGAAATATAGAAATATGTATAAATTGAAAAGAAACAAATTTGGGTGAGCAAAAAGATGAATAGGCTTTAGTTTTCTTTATCTTGAAATGTTCCATCCTAACAGGGCTGTCTTAGATAAATTATGGATCTTGGACTAAATATTATTTCCACCAAATCCCTTATATATTAAATTGAGAATCAATTAAAAAGTTATAACTTTAAGTTTGTACTAGTTAAAAAAAAACAATCCTATCTGGCAGTTTTCTATGCCTTTTAAATTCTATTTAGAAGAATTCTAGAGCATCTTATATAAAGTATAGTTTTAAAGCAAGTTTTGTTGGTATCATATACTCCCTCCATTTCATATTAACTGTCGTTGTAGATAATTTTTTTCGTTACAAAACAAGTGTAGAGAATTAAACTTATTATGTAATTTTTTTTTTATATTGGTTAAAATGTGGTTAGATGTAAAGGTAATTGTGTTTTTATATAAGAAATATGTAAAATTAGCGTTTTCCTTAATCCGTGTACACAATTCTAGAATGACACTTATAATGAAACAAAGAGAGTAAGACATCAAATTAAATAATATCAAACTAAATGTCCTATATATTCTTTCCTTAAATAAAATCTACGGAATTAGCTAATGTGATTAAGATATATATATATATATATATATATGACTATTAATGATTTTAAATAACTAAGATTTGTTAACAATCTGTATACTTTAAATTATGCTTGTTTAACTTTTATTATTAAAATAAATTACACAACTACACTAATCATATAATAAAAATTTGGATTTTTTTATATATGTTGTATTTTCAAATTTTCAAAACGAGTATAAATTACAAAAATTGTAAAAAATCTCACATAAACTTTTGTGGTCAAGGTCTAATTTTTTTCTATAATAAGTTACAATGATTATAAAATCATATGAATAAATAATTTTATTTTATTAGGTGTTTATGTTAATATATATATATATATATATATCTCATATCGTATGAATTAATAATTTTATTTTTAACATAATTAATTTAAAATTTAACTTAAATATTTAATAAAATAATTTTTTTATTCAAGAATATTTTTTGAAATATATTTTTCTGATATTATTAGAAAAATAAATCAATTTTATTAAATTAGCTTTAAAAATTTATATATATTCTAAATGTAAATATTCTAGTAATTGCTTCTTAAGTAAACATTAGGGAACTTGATAATGCTCTACCTATTAAACCATGTGATATTCCGTTTATTTTTCATCACTCAAATACTGAAAGGTGAAAAAAAATATGAACCGGACCCATTAAATTTGAAATTTTGATCTACATTTCTAATTACAATTGTTTCTAATCTTACGTATAGATAATTATATAAAAATTCTAAAATTCCAAATACATATAAAAACAATCATATATAAATTTAAAATTTATCAATACTAAAGTTATATATTTTAGTTACATACACTTCTCATGCGCAAAACGCAGGTCTTATTATACCTATATTTCTGCAAATTTACAAATCCCTATTTCGTATGTTTTTTAATTTTTTTTTTTTTTTAGAAAAGACCGTGTGCATTTGCTATCTGAGCACAACCCAAACTCGACATTGCATTTTAGAGACATTAAAACATGTCCAAGGATTGCTTTTTAATAGAGTTCTAAAAATTTTCAAATATTAAAATAATAGCAAAATGAGAGAGAATGTCAATTTTGAGAAACAGATTTAAAACTTGTGTTGCCACATTTCATAACATAAATGATTTATCAATTACAAACAAAATAAATTTTAATCAGAAAATTTTATTATGTTAATAATTACTCCCTCTGTTTCAGTATAAGTGTCACTTAGACATAATTCACGCAGATTAAGAAAATGAACAAATATACTAATATACCCTCCTTTAATGTAAAAATATTTAAATAAAAATGATTTCAAAAAAACATCTATTGGTTAATTAAAAAGACAATGAGATTATGTATAAAAAGTTGCAACAAGAAAAATATGTTAGAATGACACTTATTTAGAAACAGAGAAATATTATTTAGTGGTTTGTATCGGGTTTTTAGAACTTTACTGTTGATGTTGCTCTTACATGGAGTTTCCACACAAACTAACCTTAAAAGTTAAAACTAAGAGTCTAAGAATATTAATTTATTAATATTCCATGTTTTGGGTTTAAAAAAAAATTCCATGTTCTGTTCTTTCAACTCAAAAGAGGATAAATATTTTTGACTAACCTTCAGCTAAACCTGTATACCAAGAGTAGCTTTGTAAATTCGTGTTGAACCTTCAGCTATATGCATATATCCAATTGAAATCCCTTATATATTACTCCCTCTGTTTCAATATAAGTGTCACTCTACAGCTATGCACACGGATTAAGAAACCAATTAATTTTACATATTTCCTATATAAAAACACAACTACCCATACACCTAACCATATTTTAACCAATAGAAAAACAAATTACATAATAAAATTAATAAATTTTGCATCGAAAACCGAAAACGACACTTATTTTGTAACACAAAAAATTCTCTACAACGACACTTAATATAAAACGGAGGGAGTATTTGAGAATCATTTAAAAAGTTGTAACATTAAGTTTGTAAGAATTAAAAATAACCATAATCCTACGTGGCATAGCTCTTTGGCTTCTAATTCAAATCCTAAGAATTCTAGAGCATGTGATATAATGTATAGTTTAAAATTTATATTCTCTAGCAATATAATATTCTGTATGCTATAGTTGGTCGCATATATTAAATATTTATAGTTTCGCATGCTTTCCTTAAATAAAACCTACGGAATTACCTAATGTGATCAAAATATATATATATGACAATTAATGATTTTAAACAATAAAGATTTGATAATAATCTGTATACATTTTTTTCATTTTGTTTATTTCTTTATTATTAAAATAAATTACACAATTGCATTAATCATATAATAAAAATCTAGATTTTTTTTCTGTATGTTGTATTTCGAATTTTTCAAAATGAGAATAAATTATTAAAACTGTTAAAAGTCCCACATAAATTTTAAGATCAAGGTTTTTATTTTTTTTCTATACTAAAATATAATGATTACAAGACCATATGAAGAAATAATTTTAGTTTATATAAATTTAATATCATTTTAGTTAAATTATACATCGTATGAAAATACATATTTATATTTTGATATTTGCCTTGAACATATATTGAAAAGTTAATATTTTAATTTTGAAATATGTCATTGTTTTTTTAAAATGATTATAAATTATTGAAACTACTAAACATCTCAAATTAAAAAAAAATTCGTTGGTGTAAAGTTTTGTTACACAAATATGCAAATAATCATAAAATCATATGAGTAGAAACCTCATTTAATAAATATTCATATTAAAAGTGTGTTATATTACTATGTTTATATCATTTAAATTTAATTATATATCATATACAATATATAAGATTGATTATTTTGATTTATTTACCCTAATTGTGAATAAACAAGAGTAATAGTTAAATTTATATGCAAACGCCAATTTATTACATAATAGTAACTGATTTCTTAGTTATTTAATATATATTTATTATTTTATTATTTATAATATGCAGAAAGATATAAAATAAATAATAAATATAAAATACTTATTGTGCATAAAGTGTAGATCTTAACCTAAGTATGTATCTCTTTAATTATTTTAAATCTTAAGTATTTTCTAAAACAAACGAAATGAGAATAAAATTCAAAATAAATATTTATATCCAATAATAACCAAAATATAAAAAAAAAAACATAGCAAGAGAAAAATGGAAGATAAATAGGATTGACACGTGAACGTAAACTTCTCATAACCATAACTAATTTTTAAATAATGATATAAAACTGAGTTAATTTTTAATTTGTTAATTTTTAATTTTTTAAATCATTATGGTTATGTTAAATCATGACCATAATTAATTTTAAATTGTTTATTTGTATTTAAAAAAACTTTAAATATTGTTTTTAAAAATAATTTAAAATTTAACATAATTTTTTATAAATTATTTTGGTAAAACAATAATTTGTAAAAAATATAATTTTCTAATAAATAAATTATATTAAATTAGTTTTGAAACTTTATATATTTTAAATGCAAATATTTTACCAATTACTTCTTAAAAAACTTTAGGGAATTTCCTAATACTCTGCCAATCAAGCCCAGTGACACTCTATTTATTTTTCATCACTCGAATACTGAAAAGTGAAAAAGATATATGAAATCAGATCCATTAAATTTTAAGATTTGATCTACATTTCTAACTAAAATTGTTTCTGATCCTACGTATAGATAATTATATAAAATTTTCAAATTCTGAAATTTCAAATACATACAAAAATAATTATATGTAAATTTTAAATTTGTCAATACTAAAATTTTATATTTTAATTACATAGATTCACTATGCGCCTTGCGCAGATCTTATCCTAGTGTATAAGTATTATGACATTATCTCATTCACAACCCCAATCCGAAACAAGTTTTCATACCAGGGATCGACCATCGTGTAGATTCGGACCAAAAACTTGTAATGACTGCTCCACAAGTATTAGTGTATACTTTTGCACCAAGTGTATACATATATTTAATTCATTTTATGTTTTTTATGACCTAAGCAAGCATGAATATAAGGACCAAACAGATAGTAAGAACGAGAGTTAAGTTAACACACAAAACGAGTAGATAAAAACCATAGTAGAAATTCAAACACAGACGGCAGGAAATGTAGTTTAGAGAAAACACAAACTAAAGACTCGTCACAAAAGTGTCTCGAGCCCATTCAAACAACACACAAAAGGATAATAGAAACCCATTTTTCTCGAAACATTCTTAGTACTCCTCGCCTTCGTCATCCTCATCATCACCACCTTCAGCACCAACCTCCTCGTAATCCTTCTCCAACGCCGCAAGATCCTCACGAGCCTCAGAGAACTCTCCTTCCTCCATACCCTCACCCACATACCAGTGAACGAACGCACGTTTCGCGTACATGAGATCGAACTTGTGATCAATCCTCGAGAAGACCTCAGCGACACTGGTCGAGTTAGAGATCATACACACAGCTCTCTGCACTTTCGCAAGATCACCTCCTGGGACAACAGTTGGTGGCTGGTAGTTGATACCGCACTTGAATCCAGTAGGACACCAGTCAACGAACTGGATGGTACGTTTGGTCTTGATGGTTCCAACAGCTGCGTTCACGTCCTTAGGGACGACATCACCACGGTACATCAAACAGCAGGCCATGTATTTCCCGTGACGTGGGTCACACTTGGCCATCATGGAAGCTGGCTCGAATGCACTGTTGGTGATCTCAGCAACAGAGAGTTGCTCGTGGAAGGCCTTCTCAGCAGAGATCACTGGTGCGTAGGAGGAAAGCATGAAGTGGATTCTTGGGTATGGGACCAAGTTGGTTTGGAACTCAGTGACATCCACGTTCAGGGCTCCATCAAACCTCAGAGAAGCAGTCAATGAAGAGATAACCTGAAAACAAAATCAAGAACAAAACATCAGAAACCAAGACTATTTCTAAAGAGTTGTTTTTGAGTGGTGTTGTTAATACCTGAGAGACGAGACGGTTAAGGTTGGTGTAAGTTGGCCTCTCAATGTTCAAGGAACGTCTACAGATGTCGTAGATAGCTTCATTGTCGAGGAGGATGGAGACATCAGTGTGTTCCAAGAGTGAGTGAGTGGAGAGGACACTGTTGTAAGGCTCAACAACGGATGTAGAGACCTGTGGAGATGGGTAAACAGTGAAACCAAGCTTGGACTTTTTCCCATAGTCCACAGAAAGCCTCTCAAGAAGAAGAGACCCAAGACCAGATCCAGTTCCTCCACCAACAGCGTTGAAGACAAGGAATCCCTGGAGACCAGTGCAGTTATCAGCTAGCTTCCTGATACGGTCCAAACACAGGTCAACAATCTCCTTCCCAACTGAAACAACATTACGAAAGCAAATCAGTATAATCAAATATTAAAGTATATAATGTGAGTTATATTAAGTCAATTGTATTGAACCGGTGGTTAATTTGTATAAACCGGGTAGTACAAATACTTGTAAAGTACAATGTAAACGAGTAACTTGAGCTAATACAGTTTTTATTTCATTGTAACAAATACTCTTCACTTCTCGAGCTCAAGCTCTAATTATCAATGGAGTAATAATGTAATTAGGGAAGGGTTAAGTATAAACTAGTAACTTTTATAAACAGGGAGGGTTAAGTATAATCAAATATTAGTGTACAATGTGGGTTATATTATTGAACCGGTGGTTAATTAGTATAAACCGGTAGTATACATACTTGTGAACAAGTAACTTAAACTAATACATTATTCATTTCATCGTAACAAACTCAATCTTCACTACTTGAGCTCTAAATAATCAAAGAGGTAATGATGTAATTAAGGAAGGGAAAATAAGTATAACGTACTGGTGTAGTGACCACGGGCGAAGTTGTTAGCTGCGTCTTCTTTACCGCTGATAAGCTGCTCAGGGTGGAAGAGCTGACGGTAAGTACCGGTTCTGACCTCGTCGATCACAGTGGGCTCAAGGTCGACAAAGACAGCACGTGGCACGTGTTTCCCTGCGCCGGTTTCGCTGAAGAAGGTGTTGAACGCATCGTCACCTCCGCCAACGGTCTTGTCACTCGGCATCTGGCCATCAGGCTGTAACCAATCCACATCGCAACAACAGAAAAATCAGCAAATAATGAATAGAATCAACGGATCTAAGGACGGAATCCATTAAGAAAAGAGAGGATCTCAACAAATATCGTTCAAGAGCTCTCGTTCATCGAAAAGAAACGGATCTAGCATTAACCGTTACAATCAAACGATTTAACAACCGATCTAACCAATTAGGTAGAGTAGATCTACAAATTACTAAGAACAATGTAAATGTTAGCTAAAAATAAGTCAGATCTGATCTAACGAAATAGCAATCGAACACAAATCTACAAGAATTCTCGTTTAACGAATAATTTGAAAACGAGAGAAACGGATCTCGAATCAGTTACAGAGATCGCAAAGCAAACACCGATCTACACAATAACTAAGAGCAATATAAACGTAAGCTAAGAATACGTCAGATCTAACGAAATAGCATCCGAAAACAGATCTAGAAAAGTTTCTCGTTCAACGATTTTTTTTTTAAAACGAGAAAATGATCTCAAATCAGTTCCAGAGATAGCAAATTAAGCACAGATCTAAACAATCACTAAGCGAAATGGAAATGTAACGACGTATACATCAGATCTGATCTAACTAAATACGAGCAACCTAGCGAAGAACACAAAGAGATCGATACGAAGGAGGAGGAAGGAAGGAGAGATGAACCTGAATGCCGTGTTCAAGGCAGTAAAGCTCCCAACAGGCGTTACCGACCTGGATACCAGCTTGACCAATGTGGATCGAGATGCACTCCCTCATTTTCGATTCGGAGACGAAAGATACGACGACGAGATGAGAAGAAGAGACGTGTATGAAGACGCTCTCCTTAAAGCTGGATCTAGATCTGTGTTTAGCAGATGAAGGTTGTTAAAGGGGTATTTATATGGGGATAAGATGTGGAAGCCCTTGAATTACGGAAAGAGACGGGTGGACGTGCGCTCTCCTCTCTCCTTTTTTTCTTTTACGAAATTCGAAATTCGAAATCACCTTGAATTGCGGGAAAGAGGTACTTAACCGGATTATAACCGGACCGAAATTTATGGTTGGTTAACCGTAGCGAATAACAGACGTAACTTTTTTTTTTTTGTCAACTAATAACAAACGTGGAATTGCATAAAACTCCTAATTTTTATTGTCTTTGTATTAAACACCATTGATGTTTTTTTGCTACAAATTAATAACAAACATAACAAAATTTTGGAATTGCATAAAACTCCTCGTTTTTATTGTCTTTATAGTAAGCACCATTGGTGTTTTTATTTTGCTTACAAATTAATACCTCTGATTAATCGAAATATCAACTTTAATCTTCCAAGGCCCAGTATGAATTTTTTGGGCCATACCCAGTTACCATGGAGTTGAGTTCAGAAGTTGTTGGGAGTACAAACTTGTGCAAAAATGAGCTCAAATGAAACATTAGTGTATTCCTACTTGACAAGAATCATTATGAATATGGAAAATACATTAGCAAATCAAAGTAGCCACTAATGTAAAAATGCACATTTAAGAAGCACTAGAAAAGTGTACTCAGTGGAGAACACTATATAACTCTCATGGCTACTAAACAGTCTCAACGAGGCATGGTATCAATAATTTCATAAAAGTTATTAAGTAAACCATTTAACTGTCGAGTAGAACAAAAAAGACAAAAACCTTAAAACAATGTCTGCAACAGGGAAATAGGAACCAAACTTCTCCACCAAAATTTCGATTTTGAAACAAACCAATAACACGAAACAGCAGAGATATATCTTAAACCTTGAACCCACGACTCTTTCGCTTTCCTCTAGCTTTCTCAAACTTCCTTCCCTTAGACCTAACATAAGGCTTCGAGTGGCTGTGTGGCACACCAGGAGCTGGTCCAAAGTGCTTCACCGCTTCACGTGAGTTCTTTGGTCCTCTAAGTAGAACCTGCCACCACATCAACATAAGCTCAAGCTCATACAATAAACTTCAACATCCAGATAAATGAGATTAATCTTCAAGTAACTAACCGTGTTCTGTCCCAATGGAGCAACGAGAGCAAGCTGATCAAATGTCAAACACTCTCCACCAGCTTTCTCAATCCTAGCCCTAGCTCTCTCCGTAAACCTCAAGGCAGTAACCTTCATAGCAGGAATCTCATGCACTCTCAAATCATCAGTAATAGTCCCAACCAACACAGCAATCTTACCATCCTAAACCAATCAAACAAAACCACACAATTTAACCTTATCCACTGATACAAAACCCTAAAGAGTGCGTCTCAAGGAAAAACAAACCTTGCCATTCATAAACTCCACAAGCCTGGAGAGTGAAAGTGGAGCTTTATTCACTTTACTCATAAAAAGCCTCTTGAGAATCACAGCATCGAACTTGCTCCCGGTTCTCCTTACCAAAAACCGGTATAGCTGCCAAAGTTAAACCAATTCAGACAAGAACTCATAGAGATTCAACTCTATTAGGAACCTCTAATGTTGTTATTACCTTGACGAGAAGCTTGAGGTAGACATCATCGGACTTAGGAGCTGTCCTTTTGGTCTTCTTGCTCTTACCTCCAGCGATAAGATCGATACCCTGTAACAACGAGATAACCAATGAATCAACAACAAAAGTGAAGATACGTATCGGACTATAAGTTATTGCGCAGATCAATAAGCTAATCTACATTACAGACACTTAATCGAAACTAAGAAATTTCATCCGGTAGAACTAACAGATCAAGCTTGTAGGAATAAAATAAGAGAAGATATTAAGCGGCGGAGATGAGTATACGTACCATGGCGTGAGCTGTCGAGTGTCTCTGCTACGGAGGAAGAGTGAAATGAAATTAGGGTTTATGTTTTTATAGGAACAACAAACTAGCTCGCGTTTTAGGTTTCATGACGTCATCTTCGCTTTAGGCCGTATTTGGGCCTAAACCAAAGGCCCATTTATATGATGGATCATTTTAATTGGTTTTTGTTTTCTATGATGGATCATTTTAATTGGTTTTTGTTTCTTTTATTCCTTGTGTGAATATGTTATATGTTCTTCTGCAATCTTATTGTTGGCCCAAAGCATTTTACCCGATACCCAAATTCGTATCCGAACCCGAACCGAGATATTTGAACCAAAATATAAATTGAAGTAATAAAATTTCCAAACATGTATTAGTTAGAAGAGATTAGATATCTGAATCCAAACGGATTATATATGAACCCGAATAAATATGCTCAGTTAAGCGAACATATATACATATTTGATTCCTAGTTTATTTATCTCACTTTATTGGATATATTTATATTAATGTTATATATAGCTTCATATCATATAATATTTATATAATTGTAAAAAATGATTTGCTACTTATTTTAAATTTTAAATACATGTTAAACTTTTTATTTTATGTCTTAACAAAAGTTGCATCCAAAATTGGCAACCATATTAATGATTTTCTATTTCAATAATTTATTTTTAAACTTATTAACCATCTAATCTATTAAACATTTAAAAATAATTAAATTAATAGTAAAATTTGAAATACATGAAATCTGAGCAATTAAGAACTTTAATTTTTTCTTTCAAAATCTAAATATCAGAAACCCAATCTGAAATAACCGAACTCAAACTAAAATATTCGAGTATGTACTAGATCCCAGTACCAAAATACCCGAAAATCCGAACTACCCTATCCGAACCTGAAAATCCAAACCCGATAATTAAGCAAAAGCTTATGATATTCAATAGTAAAAGCTTATAATATTCATTCTCCATTGAACATTTTCTTCATAACCCTGAAGAAGGGGAAACAAAAACTAAGCAAAAACTAATCCTATTAGTTTGAAGTTAGAGTCCCACTCTTAGATTTATTGTTTGAAAACAAAAACATTTTGCATACCATCAATCGGTGAAAAGAAATCAACTTTGACCTATTCTCCATTATGAATTTCAGTTCATGTTCATCGGAAAGATTTACTCATTTGGAAAAAAATGCACCATTAATCTTTTTATTCAACAATCAATGCTTATGAGATCCGTTCTCCTTTGAACATTTTTCTTCACAGAAACATAAACTAAGCAAAAGCTTGTAACATTCATTCTCCTTTTGAAAATGATTTGACTTATTGTTGAATAATCTTCAAAGCAACTTGACGCCAGCTTCCCTGACAGAATCTACACAGCCTTGACTTTACCATGATACATCAGCTCTTTCTTCATGTAAATAGTAACAGCTGGAATATCTATCATCAAGAGTCTTTCCCCCGAGGAGTTTACCAATCTTTTAAGCAGCACCAACGTCGCGTGTGACATCTATAGACTTGGGCTTTATGGGCTTCCTCTTCACTACTTTATACTACTTACCATAGCGATCAACTTGACCTTTGGTGGTGGAGGTCGCATTGGCTGATGAAGCCATATGGAATACTTAAGTACTATATTTATGTAATTAGCTATGGTAATTAGCAACTTTTTTTTTGGCTCAACAACTACTTCTCAAATTTTCATTGATTCTACATTACAACAGTTAGTAGCCACTCAATTTACTTCTCTAGGATATAACTCAATCTAGTACTTAGTAGCCACTCAATTTACTTCTCTAGAGTAAAACACCAACCTAACATCTAGGATATAGCATGTTTTTGACATGGCTAGACACATGTTTTACACTCGGCCTATCTTCCTCACTATTGAACAATGTAAACTAGTTATTTGAAGGACTACTAATCAAAGACAATGTTCTTTTTTTTGTCAGCTTAAAAAAATCATGTTTCATTCAAAGAGATTTTTTTTTTTTTGAATATAAATTCAAAGAGATTTTCATAATGTTCATTCTAATTTTTTATTATTGTTTAACAAGAATCCGTTATAAAGTTGAGGTAGTGTTCTTTTTCTTGTCTCCACAAGGACATGACAACATTACGTGCGTAATAAAAATGTGACTTTTATTTGATTTTCTCACTTTTTGAATATCTATTTATTAAACTGTTAATTGGGGTAAGAAACAGAGTCACAGAAGTATGAGTTAATGGCAGTGAGAGTGAAATAGAGAAAGTCCCCCGCTTTCTACGCCTCCACCACAGCCTTTCTTCTTTTTACCCTACACATACACACAATCTACACGCTTGCATAAATTTTTATATCTGTGACGTAAGCAACTGATTGTCCTTATGTAATATACACAGTCTACACTATCCATTCTCTCTTTTCCAAGAAAATAAAAATAAAACAAGGTTACCGAATATATATTCCCTTCATACATATAAACAAGAAAACAGATCTAGTCTGTCAGAGCTAACAGCAGTCTTGAAACTTGAATATTCGGATTCTTTTATAAAGTAAAGCAATTCCAAGATTAGTAATCATCTCAGTTTCAATAAAATTTCATCTAGTTCAGTAATATGTCTTAAACTCTTATACCAAATTTATTTTATAGTCAACTGTATAATTTTTTTTTAATCAATGACTTAATACAGACATAAGTATTGATGCGTTACAGTATTTCATGTGTCCAGGGCCGGTCCTGGGCCAAGCGTGAATCAATGACTTAATATAGACATAAGTATTGATGCATTACAGTATTTCACCATTGCCAACAATAATCTGGAGTATCTATCAATGTTTTATTTACTTTGAATCCTTCTTATATATCCACAATATACATTAAAATATCGAAAATGTAAGCGTGAATTAGTCCAATAAATATGAACACTAGAACGATTTTGTAAATGTTTTCTCACCGTGGATGATAACCTAACCGGGAGGGGGGAGACACACGTGTTGGAGTAGTAGAACACGTGCGAAAATATGATCAACATGTACTCATCGATCGATCTCATTTGTTCGCACGTGCCCTGCTTCTCCAGCAAGTGTTACTCACCCATTTCATTTCTTTTACATCAACTCCATAAGCTTCCATGGCCAGTGTAGCAAAAGAAAGATATTTGTTTGTGTAGAAGAAGAGAGTGGGAGG